AGCTTATATAGCTGTGGTTTAAATGCAAGACTGGATAGACATGTATTCTTGTTAAATGTAAAAAGATGCCCTGTATATTCTTAGTTTTTGCTATATTTGGGACATACCAGTATACAGTCAAAGTGGGATTTGAAAACTAGAAAACAAAACAAACTACCGCTCCTCATTATGTATCTGCTGTCAGAGTCATTACCAAAATCCCAGAGTTTAATTCTTCTCATTAAGTGGATCCATCACAAATAAAATCAGAGATTTTTGTTTGTATATGTATATATATATATAATGTTTTTCTTTTCTTTTACAAAAACAGATTTTAGTAAGTGTAATCAAGGACTAAGTAACAAAAGTTCTCAGTGTTTGCACCAGGCAGAACGAGACAGGCAGGCATGAACCTGTGCCATGACACTTTCCAGCAGTCATAACTGCAGTCTTACACCCTGGGCACCTGACCTGCTGCATGAACACAGCAAGGCGATTCCTCTTCATCCGACATCCAAGCATTTTCTAAACAGAAGGCCATATTATAACCTGCTTGCCACAAATGCAAACCAGCCAATTCAGCCACCTGCCTGTCAGTCTTGGAATGAGGGCCTTGACTACTCACAGTGCTGTGACTCATTCTTTACAGTTCTTTGGCTCATTTTCATCTACTAATTAAAAATAAAAATTCCAAGATATTACACACATCTCCTCAGTAAAAGTCACAAGCCTCATTAAAGCAGTCAGCCTGCAGGGCTTCTCTAGCACAAAGACAGCTGGGTCTCAGGGAATCTGGAAGGTGCCAGTGTTTTCCAAGGGCAGCCAGTGCTGAAAGGCCCTGTGCACCAGGGAAGGTCTTGCTACAAACGCTGTTCCGCAGTCAGAAGGATCTGGAATGTCTACTGACAACCACAAGAAACAGCACCCCTCAGGTCACTGTCCCCTCAGCTCGCTTCTAGGCTGTGGTTTGGTTTTCCTCAATTAGTCTTGGCTGATAGCAGCTGTAAAAGGCCTGGGAAATTCTGCTTCCAACCTGAGCTGCCCATGACAGAATTTAGACCTAAACCTTTGGCTGCAGACCTCAGACCTGAGCCGCCAGCTAGACTTCTGAGGCAATGCTTAGGGGGTATGGTAATGGAGGGAGTGGAGAATGATGCCGAGAATTCTCTTTCCTTTGTGATAAACTTTAAAATATGGAAGTCCACGGCTGGGCTATCGCTGAAAGCTCGGTGACAGAAGGCTTGCCTAGCATGCATGAGGTTCAGTCCCTAGAACCACAAAGACAGACAGAACCTCCAGACCATGGAAGAATGTGTCTCAGGATTCCCTGGAGTGAGAGTTACCCACCAGGGTCTCCTGGGTTTCACTCACCTGTGGTCCATCACCAAGCTGTGTTTTATGAACGATGTAAATAACATGAACATAGATGAATCAGTTTAAAAATACTGAATGAGTAATTCCCAAGTTTACAGTCTTTTATTTATTTGTATTTTGGGGGATTTATTTTTATTTTATGTGTATGAGTGTTTGGGCTGCATGTATGTAAGTGCACCATGTGCATGCAATGCCCATACAGGCTAGAAGAAGGCACTGGATCCCCTGGAGCTGGAGTTCTCAATGGCTGTCAGCTGCCACATGGGTGCTGGGAATTAAGTCCAGTTGTCTTCAAGAGTAACCAGTGTACTTAACTGCAGAGCCATCTCTGCAGATCCTAACTGCCAAGTTTAAAATAAGTTGCTGAATAGTCTCATAGCTTCTACATCAAAGGGCATATGGATGAACTGCCACTTTGGAATGTCCACGACAGGAACTGGTTCTAGGTAGGAAAAACTGAGCACGGAAGGGAGAACAGCACCTCCCCAAAGTGCTAAGTGCAGAGGAAAAAGAAGGGACGGGCTGCCCCGGGGCTCAGTCACCCCCGGGGCTCAGTCACCCCCAGGGCTCAGTCACCCCTGGGGCTCAGTCACCCCCGGGGCTCAGTCACCCCCAGGGCTCAGTCACCTCTGGGGCTCAGCCCAGTCAAAGCAACTCTCGATTCTTTGTTGGCTAACCTTCCTTCCTACAGGACGTGCTACAGAATTTTGAGATTCAGTGCCAAATGAAATTGCCGGACCCCTTGCTAAAAGATACCATTAAGAAGTTCCGCTGAAGCTGGTGTGGTGGTGCATACCTTTAATCTCAGCACTTGGGAGGCTGAGACAGGCAGATCTCTAGGAAATCGAGGTCAGCCTGGTCTACACAAGGAATTCCAGACCAGGTGGGGCTACAAGGAAATCTGTCTCAAAAACAAAACAAAAGGAACTTTAGCTGAGGATGCAGCTCAGTGGTGGAGTGCTTCCTGTGTGCAAACAGTCCTAGGTTCAATCCCAGAACCAAGAGTGATTAATGATAACAGAATGTCCAGCAAAGTATCTAAGGACATAAAGGGTGTTCCTGCATGCAGGCCCCCAAAGACTACAGGGTGCACACCCATGATGCCCACTCCGCTTCAGATGGGGAGTCCCGTACATACATCGAACCCTGCTAAAGGCAGTCAGCTGTGTCCCCGTCTAGCTCAGCTTTCTGTGTCTCCTGTAATGAGGGAGACTCCCACTTCGTATACCACATCCTAAGAGTCAAATACGATGCTACACGATGCACTGGACATCTGTGAAAACCAGCACGTGGTTTATTTTCTTACAGGCAACGTTTTTACTGCAGAAACTACTTACTGGCTTGTCTCAGGGGAAGACAGCATGATAGCCAGCAAAGCAAGGTCACCTTAAGCAGTCTTACTTCACTTCACTGCTTCAAGAGGGGCCAGAGCAGGCAGAGAGATAAGGTAAAGGAACAGGGGAGGGGGAGAACAGGACGTGCAGGCTCCTGAAGGCCATGTGACCTTCTTTCCTCAGAAACTTTTAGGTTGTACAGTGCCACGCTAATCATTCCAAAAAGTGCCTTTCAGAGCACTTTAAGTGAGGCCTAAGTATGTCAAACTTCAGCTCAGTGCCCCCAACAGCTTTTAAAACATCAGTTTTGGAACACACTATTCTGAAGACTTGCAATAAAAACGTTATTTGTAACAAGGGAGTCCTATTCTCCAATTAGGAGACTAGGACTTATTTTATAACAAACACTAATATGTGTGTGTGTGTGTGCATGTGTGTGTGTATGTATGTATGTATGTATGTATGTGTGTGTGTGTGTATTTGGCCAAGATTCTGGATACATCTGTGATCTGTAACATTGAAAGACAATCACACACAGCAGGTGGCAGTGGCCACACGCACACACCACGCATGCACACGCACAGCTGTTCTGGACTGGATTACTGATCTATAGGAGCAGGTGCACGTTGGATTGACCTCTGTCGTCCTTTGTTTTTAAAGGATTCCCTCGCCATGTATTCCCAGCACTGTTCTCTTCCGTTCACTTTGACTAACCTGACAGAAATAACACACAGAGGCAGTACGTCACACGGCAGCGGTGCCAGCAGACGTGGGCTCCCCAGGCCTGGCCGCACAGGTCACACGCTCTGGTCTTGCGGCTGCTGTATCTGCGTGATGCCTGACTCAGCATGAGGACCAGCCCTGTATGCAGTGTTTCTCTTTTCAGTGATCGCACTCCAGTTATGACCAGGTGTTCCACATCCTTACCCCCCAAGTAGATTATTACCACCCAGACACTAAGCTGATATCCGACTCCATTAGTGTTTGCAATGAATAACCAATATAATTTTTAGGGGGACTGTTAAAGCTTTCTTATATGGTAATTTAATTTATATTTCATATAATCAGTTTTAAAAGCTGCTGTAAAAACCTCTATGTACAAAGAAAAAGAGAGAGGTGGATGCATATATATTAAATATTTTATAAGTTATGCAATAAATAACACTAAAATAAATGTCAATCTGTGAGTTCAACTTTGCCTTCCTTACTTTAAAATATAAATATATATTTAAAAATTATGAATTTAGATTTTAACTCTAGATTTTTAGAGTATTCTCCATGACGTCTCCAAACTTCCAAACACTGAAAAGATTCCAGCTTTCAGTCACTTGTGTTTTAATTACACAATTCTCATTAAACCTCAAAAGACCAATAAATAGTGCTCTCTTTCCTGTAGTCAGAGTCCATGGAGATTTCTGTAATACACTGCAAAGATTCTTCAATGCTTAAATATATAATTAAAAAAAATAGTAACTCTCATGGTGTCTTGACCTTAGGAGATAAAACAGAGCATTCTCTTGGTTAAGTCCTTCGATATGTTCTATGTAGAATACATGGTGTGGTTCTCCACCAGGATAACAACGTATCTGAAGGTGGGAACATTTATAACTTTAAATGCACTTTTGACGTTTTAGAGTAGACCAACTACTCCAGTAACACATGGAATAAAATTATAATATTTAAAAACATTTCCATAAAGAATCAGGGGTGTCAAACTTTGATTTTCCTGTAGATATAACAACACTCACATCCAATTCCAGAAGATTCCCTTTTTATAGCAAAGGGGAATTTAGTGCACTCCTCAAGGTTCTTAGTGATATTCTTGGGGATACTAGACCAAGCCCACTAAATGACCCCACACATCCCACAGGACTCTACCGAAGCTCTTCTCCAGCCACTCTGGGTTCTGGTGCATTAACTGAGCCTGCATTAGGTCGAGTCCCCCAGCTGCTGACTTCAGAGGACACATCCCCCTGGAAACAGCTCCCGTAAGGCAGAGCTGCTGCCTCCACAGTATTTCAAGCTATAAAGCAACGGAGGTGGCTCTCCAGACCAGACATTACCACAGGGGCTTGAGTTACACCAGACAGGAACCTGTCCAGTGTGCATTTGCTGACTTTCTGCCCTTGCTGGCTGGGTTGGTCACTTCATGGAAACATGGGTCCTTCAGCACAGGGCCACCAGCAGGTGTTTCCCAGTCTACCACCCAGAGGCTGGCAGAGCCTGTGGTGCAGGAGCAAGACCTCTGACTGTCCTCTTCCAGCCCAGCTCTGCCTCATGGGGTCACTTTGGAAGGAGCTGCATCTGCCGGTGCTAAGTCTGATCCCTTTCTCGGATTTCCTGTAATCGTCTCTCCAGGCGGTCCAGCTTGGCAAGATTTTCCTTCAGCAACTTGCTGTCTGGAACCAATCGCAAGGCTTTCTGGTAATACGTTCTCGCTGACACGTAGCTTCCCTGGTGTGGGGGAAAGAAAGCAAGTCTCCTCAGCGCAACACATCTCTCCCAGGATGGGAGGCAGAGGAACCCACCCTCTGACAGGCTAGTATTAATTCTCTTAAGACGCCTTGAGTGGGCAATTTTATCCTTATCTCTCAGTGCTTCTAGAAAATTCACTTAAGTACCAGACCAGCTGAAGAACACAGAGGCGGAGAGTCACATTATTAGGGTTAAATGGCAGAAAAACAGATTTCCATTCTATTCATGCAGGGCACGCTGATCATTTTAGTGTCCCAGGGTCAGAGCACTGCACAGTTGCTCGTTGTGACCAAACAGCACTGTGGCTGAGGGAGAGGGAAAGCAAGCAAGAGAGAGAGAGCCAACGAGGGGGGGGGTGCTTCAAGAGCAGAGATTGAACGCTATTCGCTTCTTTCTTAGGACATTCCTGTCTTCAACCTGAAACACAATGGCGGCTTTCGCCTAACACAACCTTCATACAATGAAGAGCTGATGATGACCAACTTGGATTTATCTCCTCACCAGGGTGTGGGAAACGGTACCAATGGTACCAGCTAGGCACCTACTGCAGGATGAGTAAGGAGCATCTCCACAGAGCTGCTGGGGGTCCCATGTTTGTCAACACTCATTGGTTCTGTTTAATACCACATGTGCCTGGGCCCAGACGGCGACGGAAAACTGGTCTTAGCTATGAGCTTTTCTTCCCCATCTGGAACAACCTTGCAGATCTGTGGCCTGCAGAGCTGTAGAGCTCAGACTGTTAAGGTTTGTCTGTGGTCCAACTAGTTCCTCAGCTCACAAGACTCTGGAAGCCAACCAGACTTGCAAGATACAGGAGACCCCGCACACAGTTATGTACACAGGAAGCTGGTGGAAGGAAGGAGAGTCTCAGGCAGCTGAGCTTCCGGTAAATTGAGCAGGGAAGGGAGCTCCAGGGATGGGCTTTCCTGAGCAGTCACCATGCTCCCTGGTGATGCAGCTGCTTCCGAGGCACCCGCATTCCTGCAGGGAGCCCCAGAAGACCTCGCTGGTTCACTTGGGGGAAACGCGTCTTTGGTCTGCCTTCTCTGGGGTATAGACATTCACATCTCCCCATGTCACCACCCAGTATCTTTCCGTTCTAAAGATCCAAAGTCACACTATGTCGTTCTCAGCTGCAGAGCCCATGTGGGGAGACACTGGGCTCTAAATTTCCATCACAATTTTAATGGCATCTATCAGAGTGAAAGGACCAAGCAGCAGTCACCAACTAATATTTACTGAGTTTGTAACTATCTTTCACATGTGCCTAAGTACCAAGAGCTTAGATGCCTGACACAGTGAGACCTCAACACAGCGTGATGCTGTAGTGACCTCTGTCATCGCACGACTGTCCAGTCTCTGTCAGTTAATTCCTGTTTTTCATGCTCTTCATGTGAGAGGCAGATGAAGGAGAGGAAAGGACAGAGAAACGAGGAACTGTACCCCGGAGATCCAGCGCTGCTGTGTGCAATCAGTTATTATTTCTAATGATCAGCACTATGACAGAGGCCAAAGAGCCTGCCGGACAAGCAGAACCCAGATCCCTCCATCCAGCTGTCTTCTCAAGCCAAGCATTCATCTTCCAAGTCGGCTTTTTATTGGGCTCAGCACCACGTAGGGCACCTGCACACTTGTGGATCTGAGCCATCTCAAGATGCTCTCTAGACAGACCTTCACTCAAGGGTCACATTCAATCCTTCTTGGCAGAAAGACTCATCCAGAGTTTGTTTTTTTTGGGGGGGGGGAAACAAAATAAACGTTTTCCAATAAAAGTGGGAAATAAGACGCCTTCACTATAGAAAATAGGAAAGAAGTTTTTAAAGTAACAGTGTGGTGTTGCCAGTGAGTCAACAAGCCTCAGGCTCAGACAGACCCCAGCCGGTGCCCGATGAAGCTTCTTCCCAGCACATAGGATTGGCGAGCCCATGGAGTCTAAGTTAAAGACATTTAAGATGGGCCCATGATAGTCACTATTTAGAAAGCATAGCCCTTGCAGACATTACTTTTGAGAGCTGTTTTAAGTGATCAAGAGACTTCTAAGAGGAAACGAACACTGGCTTTCAAATCCTTGAGGAGGGCAGAGAGACGGGAGAGAACCTGGGCAGGGCAGGGACCCAGGGTGGGGGATCACAGCAGGGGACCCAGGAGGGGAGAACAGAGGTGGGGAACACAGTGCGTGCCACACCTACCTGGATGTGCCTGATCCCGCCCATGTTCATCCAGGCCTGCGCCTGGTCAGGATCCAGGGCCACAGCAGCTTCATAACTCTGAGTAGAGGAGGAAAAGCTTCAGGTTAGGAGGTGAGAAACATCTTGAATGCCACAGGACTGTGTGGACCTGTTCCTGTATAGGGACCAGCTGGCTCACTCACGATACCAGGCACAGCCTCGAACTCAAGATACCAGGCACAGCCACTTGGCAGGAGCCAACAGTCTGTTATTTTTCCAGAGCTGATGATTCTTACGTGGAGGGCGCAGAGATATGCAGCGTCCCTGCAGGAGACCTGGGAATTCCTGTGACAGCACATTAGTACCTGCCTGGACCTGGGACCGGGGACTTCTCTCACAGCACATTCTTGGGGGTAATACATCATCACAGCAACAAGAAAATCCATGAGTAGTACCCTCGGGCAAACTCCTGTGTAAATTCATCTCCCCAATGGCTTTTCCTTTACCACCAATTAGAACTTTAAATGGGGTGAAGAGACATTGCTGTCCATCACTGTAATCCCCTACACATGTGCTGCATGATTTTGAACTGTATGCCCAGGAATGCCCTCCTTCACTGCCCTGCTAAGCATGTTCAGATATGAGCTGGCCCCTGTACGAATCTGTATGGAGCAGCTGAATTAAACCCCCAGTGTCCTTTGTTGGGGGAGGGCCCTGCTTTGGGAAAGCCCCCTGGTCAAAGGAGCAAATACAACCTTCTCCAAGTCTCATGTCCTGCTGTCCTTTTGTATGCACCAAGATGAGAACTCACTGTTTGGTTTCCCATCCTCCTCCAGTGTTAGGAAGAAGTAAATGATAAATCCTATTTTTAGAACGCCACTGAAATAAACCTGAAGATGTGTTGTCTCCTGGATTAATTATCTGTAGAGATGGGGGGTGCAGTAGAGAAAGTCAGGGTGGGGTTCAAACCCTGGCCCCGTTTCTTGTGGCCTGTGTAACCTTGAACAAGACTGACCTCCAAGTTTCCATTCACAAAGGTGGCAGCAACTGCAACCTTCTGTGACTGTTGCCAAGGTTAGACCCACAGTGCAGTGAGTCTCAGAACTGCTAAGACACTGCAGTCAACTGAGCCAATGAACTGCCAATTCTGTGTTCTAGGACTCAGGCTGATCCACTGCTTAGATGGCCAGAAACTGCTTGCTTTCAACACAGTGTGTTCAGATGAAGACACAGATACACCGTAAGTACTCACAGGTAAATCATCAATAGTGATGCAGTTATGTTAGTTACAGATGGCTTAATGAAGCCATTAAAAGTCTTCGCCAGGTGAGAAGAAAGCCACAATTTCTGAGAGAATATGCTTACAACTCCTATTTCATGCTCACAGTGGTTTTTCCAAATGCCCAAAATTTCCAAAGATACTTTAAACTTAAAGTAAACTTTATAAAACTTTACAAAACATAAACTTATGTTTGCATGTTTACGATGCTAGGGATGGTACCCAGAGACTCCTCAAATGCTAGCCCCGTGCTCTACTACTGAGCTACAGACCCAGTCTCCACTAATATTTTAAAAGCTACTCACTCGTTTGTTCTCCAACACAGTTTAGATTTTACTTTCATAACTAATGAACATTTATAATTAAAAAATTTTAAATTTAATTTTATTACATATTTTATTTATTTTATTTTATTTTATGTGTGTATTGCCTCCATGTAGATTAAGTGCACCCGTATCGTGCAATGCCCGAAGAGGTCAGAAGAGGCTGTCAGATACCCTGGGACTGGAATTACGGACAGTTGTTAGCTGCCATGTGGGTGCTGGGATTCGAACACGGGTCTTCTGCAAGAACAACCAGTGTTCTTAACTGCTCAGCCATCTCTTCAGCCCTGAAAATTTATAATTTTATGGACTGGCTTTGTGTGATCCCAGGATAAAATATGGCCCATCAGCAACACTTTTATTACATGCATTTCTTCCTGATTTCATACTGTGCACAAATTTCATTCCAAAGCTACAGATACTGACTGCCTATAAGATTTATGACGCAAGGCTTTAGAACAGAGGAAGTCAATATGGTTGGGAGATAAAATGAGAGCACACATATACAAGAGCATCATATGTGTGTGCATGCACGCATACACAACACACACACAGAACTAACAATACAGTATACTGAGACATCTTCAAATAACTGATACCTTAATGATAATAGGGTTTAAATTTGTTCTATTTTGTTTTGGTTTGAGTTTTAAAAAAATATTTCAGTTAATTTTTTTATTTTATGTGTATGAGTGTATTGCCTGCATGTATGTAACTGTACCTGTGCTGTGCAATGGCCTCAGAGATCAGAAGAGAGCATAGGATCCCCTGGAACTGGAATTACGGATGATTGTTAGCCACCATGTGGGTGCTGGGAACCAAACCTGAGTCCTCTGCAAGAGCAGTCTGTGCTCTTAACCTCTGAACCATCTTTCCAGCTCTGGGTTTGGGTTTTTTTGTTTTGTTTTGTTTTGTTTTAAGACAATTTCTTACTGTAGACCATGGTGGTCTGGAACTCCCTATGTAGTCCAGGTTGGCCTTGAACTTGTGAGCCTATTACCTCTGCCTCTAGAGTAGCTGAGATTAATTTATGGTGTGCCATCACATCCTGCTGGCATGGTATTTTAAAAAACATTTTATTTGGTGTGTATGTTTGTGTGTGTGTGTGTGTGGTTGTGCGCGCACGCACATGCATGCATGTTGAGGTCAAGTCCTAAGACTTGAACTCAGGTGGTCAGGTTTGGAGGCAAGTCCCTTTACCTGCTGAGGCATCTTGCCATTCCTGACATAGTATTTATTAAGAGTTCAGAAGAAGAAATATCACTAGAGGTATACACTCAACTAGTGTGGTGGTGCACACCTTTAGTCCCAGCACTCGGGAGGCAGAGACAAGTGGATCTCTGTTAGCTCAAGGCCAGCCTGGTCTACAGAGCCAACTCCAGGCCAGCTGGGGCTACAGGGAGACCCTGTCTAAAAGAAACGGGAGAGACTGCAAACTCATACTTAAAGCCAGCCCTGGCATGAACGAAAACCAGAGATGGTGGTGGGTCCCACGGACAAGTCAATGCCCAGAGCTACCCGGGCCCCAGCAGCCTGTAATGGAGGGTCTTCCAGGCAAACAGAGGGTGACCTGGCTCTCTGGAAGAAGACATGTGCAATGCTTCCAGAGTCAAGTTAACGGTGCGAACTCCAAAGACAGCGCAGAGGCACTGCATAACTAGTCCTCAAATCCCAGAGGCTCAAATGAAAAGTCTGTAACACCGTCAACCAACAGAAAACACACTTTGCAAATCGCCAATGAGTTTAGATTTTAATGTTCAGAATTCCTTACAGATTACAGTATTTTAAATCTGCAGACTGAATAGCACAATTTACTTGTTTTATTTACCTCAAAAGCTTTGTCGAGAAGGTTCTGTTCTCTTAGCTGGTTTCCTTTTGTGAAGAAAAGTTCAGATAGGACCTTTGGGTCCTTGGGCTTCAGCTGGAGAGCTTTGTCTATGGCCTGAAGAGCCTGTAATGACAGGAAATGATGGACACAGGAGCGTTGGAGAAGGAAACCTCACCTCCACAGTGGAGTTCACATGCTCTGTTCATACCTGTCAGCTAGTGTGGCATGTGGTGATGAAAACACACCCTTCCTGTTCTCTCATTTTCTCCCTGGGAATTAATGGCCCTGCTAAGTCACTTCATTCATGGTCAGCAAGAATCAAAGGTCCCTGATCACCTCACAGGAAGCATGTATTGTTGCAGTGGGGTTTCCCCTGACCACATCTCCGGATCTCTTGGCCCCCAGTGTCCACTGCTCCTCGGCACATAGATATTGCTCAGAAGCACACAGCTGCATTTTCTGAACTTCAAAGCTTATCCCAGGATAGGGAATCAAATCTGAGGCCTTGCCCTGGTGTGAGGAAATGTCTTCCTTAATGTGTGCATCTTACATTGTGTACTGTTCTCTCGTGCTTGTTCTTCAAGTGTGCCCCTTTCTGCTGCCACAGGGCCTTTGTATGTGCCATTCCAGCCCAGAATCTCCTTAGCTGCTCCTCTACTTACCCATCTTCCTCACTCAGTCCTCCCCTTTCACCTCACACCATGGGGAAACCTGACCTCAGGGAGTCAGGTCGCTGGTTACGCTCAGTCTCTTTCTGATCATACCAATTACGTTTATGACTACTAGATCAATCTTTTGTGTCTTTCTCTAAGTAAGCTCCCTGAGGACCAGGACAGGGATTTCTTTTCCATCTTACTTTATGCCTAGAGTTCACTGCAATGTCTGACACTTAGCAGGAATTCAACAAATATTTTAAGTTGGTTCATGACTTTAATGGTTACGAGGTTTTTCAAAATGGAGATAATCGCTGTCCCAACAGTCCTGCCTCACAGGGTTGTCATGACTGTATCAAACATTAGAAAGAACTCAGAGAGCCAGAGGGCATGCTGTGTGGAGTCGGTTGAAAACGAACTGTGCTAATGAGACACAGGATCTGCAGAACAAAGGGGAGCCAGGGGCGAGCTGCTCCGAAAAGACCATCGAGGGGGTCCAAGGAGCACTCCCTGGAGGCAGAACCTGCAGACTGAGGCTCTCAAGAGTGACCAGCTCTGTGCATGAGGCTGTAGACTGTCTGATTCACTCCCTTTTCTATAGAGACTCTACACAGCCTTGAGGTGCCTCTGGGCCCGGTCTTGGTGCTTATGAGGATGGCTGACGGCCTTGAAAGCACCCTCCCTACCTTTCCATGGTGTTCCTGCTTGCCGTGGATGGCTGACAGGAGACGGTAGCATTCTAGGCATCTGGGCTCCTCCAACAGGATGCGACTGGTCATCTTTTCAGCTTCTTTGGTCTGACCCATCACTGCTAAAACCTGTGCCTGTAGAAACACAGGACTTAGGGCTTAGAAGATACCTAGCCATTCCTTAGCAGAAGAAATAGCTCCACAGAGAGCTGCTTACAAAATACTCTGGGCATCCAGGGCTCAGCATGTTTGCTGACTCACAGTGAGAGCTGAATCATGGGGTTTTGTCTGTCCCATTTATTTAGGGACATGCATGCACTTGGGTGTGGATGGCAGGGATGTCACCAATATCTATATCCAACAAAATGGCATGTGGCTCTTAAAAAGTTGGTGAACCTTGTCAGGGACAGCTTCCTATTGTTTAAGAAGATGGAAGTGTGAAATTCCAAACACTGAGGCGAAGACACTGGCGGTGGGAGTGGTGGCTTTGAGTTGGTTACGTGACAGAATGGAACCCATTCTATCTCTAAAGCATTTAGACATAAAGGGTCAGAAAAGACACGCCATGTACTAATAAGCATAGAGACACATCCGAACATGCTTGTATACACACATCTGCTCACACTCCAAGAAGGAGTGACAGACAAATGAATCAAAATGCCAAAAGCAGTGGATCTGGGCCAAAGGCTACTTGGAACAACTTTACTATTTATGACTTTTTGTCTTGTTTTGGAGCTGGTGACTAGAGCGCAGGGCCCTGTGCATGGTAGCTAAATGCTCCATCAGGGCCCATCCACCCCAGCCTTGTGATTTTGTTTTGGAAGTCTGAAACTGTCTGAAAACACAGAGACTTAGCAGTATGCGTGCCTGGTCCATGGTGGCTGTGCCACAGCTCTGTGAGCAGTCGCGTGATGGCCATAGTCACTGCAGTCTCTGCCACCGGCTCTGAGGCTTTGGACTCCAGCTTCCTGTGCCGCATGCTACACTCCCAGCGTGGTTTGCTCTCCTCCCGAGACTCACCAGTGCCAGGCGGAGCTCCCTCTGTGAAGGCTGGAGGGCTACAGCTTCCCGGTACACTTCCAAAGCCTCCTTGTGCCGCCCGGTGTTGTAATACAGCGCTCCCAAAGGTGACAATACCTCAGCCGTGCGGGCCACCTGCAGGGCGCTGCAGGAAGAGAGGCAAATGGATGCTTCACTCTGGTGTGCTGAGACTGAGGGAGGACTGTTCACAGTTAGAGACTTGCTTGAGCTTAGTCTTTTACTTTTTTTTTTTAATATGTGTAAGTGTATTGCCTGCATGTACATAAGTGCACTTGTGTGGTATAACGCCTGTGGAGGTCACAAGAGGGCACTGGATCCCCTGGAACTGGAGCTATGGATGGTTGTCAGCAGCCACGTGGGTGCTGGGAATCAAACCTGGGTCCTCTGCAAGGGCACACAGCGCTCTTAACCACTGAGCCAACCCTCCAGCCCCTAGTCTTTCTCTTTAAATGAAGGGCAAGTTATACCCTGGACCTGTGTGTCTCTGATGACCTAGGAACCTAGCAACTGAGTCCCAGTGGTCTGGGCTGTTAATGCTGACTGTTTAGGTTCTGAGAGACCGGCAGCCTTACATCTATCCCTGGTACTGAACCTGCTCTTTACTCTGTCGTCCATGGCTTCATCAAACTGTACTAACTAAAGCAGAAGAATCATCCCCACCCTGACTGAGCACTGTAGTCTCACCAGCAGAGGAAGGGGCCAGTTAGCACACACAGTGCTGTGCTGTTCTCTTGCAAATGTCACCTGCACTGGCGAAATGTGCTCCTACTCTGAGAACCTGCTTGTTCCATGAACCAAGAAGTCTGTGAGCAACTGCCAAGGTCCCCAGGAGACCGAGGAGGAAAGGGGATTAGCGCACCGTTTGTACCACTCTTCAGCCATGCTGTTCTCTCCCAGGGACCTGTAGAGCCGGCCCAGGTTCACCACGGCCACGTGATGGCTCGGGCTGAGCTGGATGGCCTGCTGGTAGTGAGTCACGGCCTTCTCTGGAGAACCTGCAGCACGGTGGACAGAGATTAGGGACTCGGTGGCCAGTCTCCCTTCTGACATGTCCCTCTTCCTCTGCATGAGAGCATCGGACCCTCAGTTACTCAGTTTGCAATCAGCTTGCACTTGGGTCTCCTATGTTTGCCGCTGCACAGCTCTGGCCTGCTGTACCATTTACTCACACTTCAAGGAAATTAATAAGGAAGTGGTGATTTTTTTTTTTTTTTTTTGAGACAAGGTCTCACCCTTTGGTCCAGGCTGGACTTGAACTCATGGTAAACTTTCTGCCTCAGTCTCCAAAGTGCTGGGATGACAGGTGTGAGCCAGCATGGCTGGTCAAGTTTTTATTTATCATAGCTGCATCTCATTATACATGGAAAAGAATAGCCTGCTGCAGAAAGCACACAGGACTCGGGCAGCTTCCGAGGGTCTGTCTCAAATCACAGGACAAAAGAGCACATTGCTTTACATGATTCATGTCCGTGCTCTTTTCTGGAAACCATACTTTCATTTGGGGTTCTTAACAGTTTTTTATTACATGTATTTATGGGGGGCACAGGTCAGAGTCAGTTCTTGTGGGAGTCAGTTCTCTCCTTCCACTATGTGGATCCCAGGGATGGACTCAGGTCGCTGGGCTTGGTGTCAAGTATCTTTACCCACCAAGCCATCTCAGTGACCACAATGGTATTAGTTTAATAAGACTCTACACAGAGGCAGTGTCAGCTCGGATTTGTCCAGTGCACCATGTATATGGAAACACTGCGGCCTGCACGACCTTGGCAGGTGTTCTGGATCCTATTTAGTTGCCTCCTGCGAGTTAAGAGACATTTTTAAAACTATCCAAACACAGTGGTCCCTTTATAGATGGAAACACTAACATGCAGGAACACCGAGAGACTCACTAATAATCCCCGGGAAAGTGAGGTCAGAGGCTGGAGGGAGAACCAAATCTCCCAGGTCTGAGAAGTGTCTCCGGAGAAACTTCCTGGGGAAATTAGATAAGTGACTGAGATTCAGAACAGCCCAAAGTCCTCAACAGACTGGACCCACCTGTCTGCACAAAAATCTACCCAGCTCTACCTCTCTAAATACAGGTTGAACTGGAAGACCCCAAAGACACCACGTCACAGAGACACCACGTCACAGGGTCATCAGGGAGTTGCTGTGGCCCTCTTCAGGGGCTGCGGTGGCGGTTTGTTACTGGATTAAAAGGGTAACTGCAGCCCAGGCCAGCGGAGCACTCTCTTGTGCTCTTCCCCTTTGAGACTTAATTACCGTGTGTCCAATGGGTCAGCAGGGGCAGCACACAGCAATTTCATATGTGAAAGTATACCTGCTGTCCTCAGATGACCAGAACGTAAGTTTAAATTCCATTAAACAGAAAAGCTTCACATACCCTAGAGAATAAAAACCTTTCAAGCGTTTCATATTCCAAAGATAATGAAACCCGAATTCTCCTGCAGGGCAGGTGGTCTTGGAGCCAACCAGACAGGGTGGTGCTTTTATATTAAAATGAACTGTCTCGTTGCTTCTGAGAATTCATTACACCCAACAGTGTATGAGGTCTGCACAAATCACAAAGACGATAGAATCCATGCCCAGATACATTCTGCATTAAATAAGATGAAGGAAGTCTATTTTAAAATGCACCTGTCACTGCTGTGTCAATTATAATAACACAGTTTCCGTAACAAGTCAAGAAGGAACAATGAACCAACCCCCGAGGCTTTCTAAGATCAGTTCTAGAAATCGGTTACCATGTGCTGTAACTAGACCAGGAGGTGCGTTCTGCATTGCTGTAGATAGAGGAGTGTTTCAGTATCACACATGCATAAACCTGGGGATCTGTGCACAGATGAGACTCCTTACACCATCAGAGCTATGTCTGCCACCAGGGAGCTTTCCTCAGAGAGGGTGCTAAGAACAGAAGATTTGGAAAAGAGACAGCTCGTCCGCAGTGGGACCCCCTGTGCAGCTGGTGACCACCACTGGTGTGAGAGGGAGAATTGAGGAGTCTCAGCAGAGGGGGCTCACTCACCAGAGTCAACCAGGAAAACTGCGTAGTTGTTGTGTAGGTCCGAACTATCCGGACAGTTCTTTATTCCAGCCTGGTAGATTTCCTCAGCTTCCTGAAATCTTTCCTTTAGAAGAGAACAAAGAAAACACAATTTTAGGGAATCGGCAGCAAAGTGCGTATCGGGAGAGAGCAGAGACAACATGTGCACTATGGGCCTGTCAGACAGCACACAGTTCACAAAGCAGCAGCAGAGTGCGCATCGGGAGAGAGCAGAGACAACATGTGCACTGTGGGCCTGTCAGACAGCACACAGTTCACAAAGCAGCAGCAGAGTGCGTATCGGGAGCCAGCAGGAAAGAGAACGTGTTCACTGAGCATCTAACACACGACTCCAAGAAGAACACTGAGAACTTTGCCTGAATCCAAGGTTTGAGAATTGTCTGAGAAGTGTAAACAATTTCATTTCTAATGCTGCTGTTGGAGTCAGGTACAAGGCATTCTGTGACTTTTCCTGCATGATGCTGGGAATGTATTTCCTAAAAGTTTATTACAAGTTATGACTGAGCATCAGACCCTTGAAGAGGGAAGCTGGGCACAAGTTCCTTAGCCATGACTCCTCAGCCTGTGAATGAAGACGCACAGTAGGTCTGCCATGCCCTGTGCAGGAAGCCGGGAGGCTGACTGGTCCTGCGCAAGGAAGCAGCAACCTCTGCATCCGTCGTGCAGTGACCAGCGCTGCCGCTGAATCCACTTTCCGCAGCACCATTCGGGACAACGGGGAGGTTTATCTGTGGCATATTTTACTTACTGAATCAGAAATCCATAGAGCCACAAAAATGGACATGCTTGCTTCTCAAAGTGTCCTAAAACTGCCAAGCTAAACAAATTGTCAAAGTCAAAGATGAATGAAAATCTCAATGTCATTTTTATCTCAACAATTAACTCCAAAGAGAAATCTTTGTGTGTGTGTGAGTACGTGCATGCGTGTGCACGTTAGAAGACAGGCCCACCACAAACCGTGTAAGACTTCAGTAAGTTATTAACTGCAGCCTCCATGTGTGTAAGGGTGTGCTTGAGGGACCCCAGAAACTACCACAGACCTTAAAAATGCCTTTGTAGCCAAATTGGGTGAGTCAAAGGGTGTTTTCCCCGAAAGGAGTAAATGTGAGCACAATCTCTCCTGCAGGAGTCAAATTCAACAGCAACCGGGTTTTCAGTTGCAATTACCTGAGCTAATCTTAATCCATCCCTGTATTCCAAAACATGGGCAGAGATTACTCCTTTCATCTGGAACTTTTCTTCTGTTTTAGGGTTCATGAGTTACAAATGCAATTTTCAGCAGTCCAAAGAAGTGATAGGATTGAACAGAGCTTTTGTGTCAGGATGGAGGAATGGGGCCCTGCACCCCACTGGCAGGCCCAGCCCCTGAAGTGTCTTCACTTTGTATCCTCTCTCATCTGGTTTGACTCTGAATCTCACACAGTGATTAGCCACCTCCCCACACCCAGAAGACAGTTTGTGGGTGCTCACACCAGCGACCCTCTCCAGATAGCTGACAGTTCTATGGTAGCAACACCATCTGATCCAGAGGCTCGATTCCAAAGGCTCAGGTTCTTGGGCCCCTCAGGCTACAAGTCCTGAGCGTGGTCCCCACTTTGCTTTCACATTTCCTATGGACTTGTGCATTCGAGAGGGCAGGAAAGACGCTATTTACAAGACAGTCCAACCAAACAAGCTTTGACCATCAATGGTCGTGACAAGCCCCATTGTCTACACCAGAATCTCAAACCAAGCACAGCCTCATCACGACACTGACTGGTACTGGTTAAAATCAGACAGCGTGCCGCCATGGGTGCCAAAGTATTCACAGAAGTGTTGTGTCACACCATTCCTGGGGAGATGTGAAGAAATGTTTACTCATCAGAACGGGAAACGATGTCAGACCAAAAGTAAGGGTACCATCCAAGTCCAACTTAGTGAACCGGTGAGTTTTATTGGGGTTACTCATAGGAACAGGAGGGGCTACCTGCAAGAGCAGAAATGATCTAAAGACAGCTGCATCACCAAACGTCCACCGCAGTGTGGGTCATAGCTCACAAAAGCTGAAAACCTGGAGGGCACTGCACAACTCGGGAGCCGTCTGTTCCAGGCAGCTGGGTTGGTCTGAGGGTTTCTCCATAGGCCTTACTGGGTATATAGGCCCGGGTGGGGAGGGCCTAGTGCATCTTGGGTCAGGGACTTCTTAAAGTCTGAGTTGTTTACTTCCTGAGCTTAATGAGCTTCCGCTGAGCTTCTTCGCAGGATGAGAGGTTTCACCTCCCTTGTGGAGTGCAAAGAAAATAGGTCTTGGCGGCCTGAGAGGGCAAAGTCCACAACTGCACTTAGGATGTACCATCCTTACCTCACATAGCCGGATTTTTCCTCAAGGAAAGGAAAGTGAGAAGGGGAGATTCTGGACAAGAAGCCCTGAGTGTAATTTATTCTCTTGGGCCAATGGATGCATGCAGGGAAACCTTCACAGTTCTGGGTACAGGGAGCCAGACAACTGATACTGTGTCAACACAGCAATTCAAGCGCTCTGCTGAAAGGGTCTTTTTGAACTCTATAAATTACTAAGGATTACTAAGGATTCCAAGATTTTTCATTTATGTAGGCTATGTCTACCAATATTTACAAGAGAAAATAAGAAAATTAAGACAATAAAGTCAAATACAAATAATGTGTTTAAATGAAAAATACCTTCCAAAGCAAAAGACAGTGTCTTGGTGTTAATTTAGGTGTGTGTGTGTGTGTGTGTGTGTGTGTGTGTGATAGTTTGGTTTTGGTGGTGCTGGGGATTGAACCCAGGGCATCACACATACTAGTCAAATGCTCCACCACTGAGCTGTCACCCCAGCACTATTAATTAAACATTTTAGAGCTCTCTTTAATGTCTGACCTAGTAAAAGATCACTGGATTCTCACACTGGCTTTCATGACAGTATGTTTTTAACTGTTTTTTTGTGGGTTTTTTTGCTGTTGGTTGTTGAAGTAGATGATACATGACCTCACAGAGCAGAAAAATGGGAAAAGGGCCGGCATTTTAACAGCCTTTTCAGAATTGTGGGCGTGTCTATCATGTGACCAGCGAAACCTGTATATTCAGCAAACTGCAGACCTCCATGAACCCCAGGGAGCCTCACTTGGCACCACTGGAGCACAGCTAAAAGCATGGTCCACAGCAAAGTGCAGTTAATGCACACAAGGAGGACTGTGAGGTGGCCTAGTACAGTGAAGCACTCATAGAGAAAAGCTGCTCTGACACAGCCACAGGTCTGGACTGCCATGGAGACATGCATTCATTCATTCTAATCCATGAAGTAAAGCAGTCACGAGTTTCCTCCTCCTTAGCCAGTGACTGCTTACTAGGATGGCCCCAGCTGGGGGTCAACAGCTCTGATAGCCTTAGGAAGCTGGGGACCAACGGGATCTGACCGACACCCCAGGGAAGCTGGGGACCAACCGACTGACACCTCTGGCAGGCTGAGTCTAGAAACCAGAGGATGTGATATCCCAGAAGCTGAGGATTAACAGACCCTTAACCCTAACAGTGAGTCTGCTAGAAACTACTTGTCACCACAGCTTGGAAGACACTCAGACCTGCTTCCTCTCCCCACTTTTATTTTCTTTACCAAATAGTAAGTGACCAACCGTGAGGGCACCACAGGACATTTCTGGGAAATATTCTATCAATATTTGATGTCTCATTTTCTTTGGTACCCAACCGGAACAAAGCTGTTAACTTGGCACTCTTCCTCCCCCAGGAAACGGCAGGCACCTTCTAATCCTGGGTGTGGTTGTCCCTGGCAGTGTGTGGGCAATGAGACATAACAAGCAACGTAAAAAGGGAGCACTGCAAAGAGGAAACAGCAAGAAAAAAAAAATAACAATAAAAAAGTAATCAAAGAGACCATGACAGTCAGAAGAGGGCGTCAGAACTGGAGGTACAGATGGTTGTCAGCCGCCATGTGGTTGCTGGGAATCGAGCCTGGGTCCTCTGCAAGAGCAGCCAGTGCTCTTAACCTCGGAGCCCTTTCTCCAGCCCCCATTTTTTTTAAATTAAAAGATATCAACAAATAATTGAAAGCTATTGTTATCAAACCTCCCCACTAAAACAGCTGGGAAACACAGTCACTACACTGACTAGCAGAAAACAACTAGAAAATCAGAAATTCCAGGCTGATAGAACAAACTTGAAATAAAGAAACAGATAAAAGCAAACCTGTTCACACAACTTTGAAAACATACCTGTGTGACGGGCAATTTTATTTCAGTCATCATTTCTTTTAGCATGAGACTGGTCCACAGTCAGCTTGGGCTGTGCACAGACGGAGACACAGGAAGACCTGCTAGGCGGGGAAGGTTTCATGCAATTCTTCAGGCTGATGGAGTTTTAGGAAGGCTGTTTCTGCATCCTCTGGTGTCTGAAATGCTGGGATGCTGTTACAAACAGCGAGGCCACCAGGAAATGAACTGTTCAAACAATGCCAAGGGGAGTGGATTCTGCTGTGACCTCTGCGCCTGCCCTGCCTGTGTACGAAGTCTTATTTCATCCCAAAAGAATTCCAGGCACAAGGATAAGGAGTGCCCCTTGGAGGACAGAGGGCACTCCTTCAGCCATTAGGTTTCCACTGCCCTGTAGATTTCAGGGTAAAACCAATTGCCCTCAGGTAGAAGGAAAAACCCTTCAGCTTTTCAAGGAGATTCCTGGATCTCAGAATAGGAAAGACCGTTAAATGATGTCGCCTCTGTGTGTCAGGAAGATCAGGGTCTTCCTCACAATTTGTTTTTCTTCACAGTTTTTCACGGTTCCAACTGTGTGAAATGCAATAGCTCTGCATCGATTTGACATGTTTTCATAAAAAACAACCTGATCAGGAAATCAATTTTACAGAACTCATCTGATACTCTTAACACTTGACTAAAGGAAAGTATGTCTATTGTTCTTAAAACTTCTGCTGCAAAACTGCCTTTATTCCATTGGGGGGAAAAAACACAACCTTTCTCTTGGTAAAAAATGTGCTAACTGTACGAATGAACGCAAAGATCACGGACTGACGCACTAACAGGAAGGGCAAGGTGATC